GAACGCGATTTTTAAAGGGGGACCACCCTCGAAACGCGATTGGGCTAGTTTTGAGTAGCAATTGGGCGGGTTTTGTTGTGACAACCTGGCAACCCTAGCATGCACCTTTACATAAAACAATATAGTGCTCCAATCAGTTCTTAAAATAATGACATAAAAACATTTTGTTTAACACTTATGCAAGCGAATCGTGCCCACAGCTAAAGTTTAGCTGCTAAACTGTAAACACTTAACAAAACAATAATGGTGGATACGTTAGCGTAAGAAAAAAAGTTTAAAAAAGAAAACTACACATCTCACCAAAAACAAATATATATATATATATATATATGTTGTTTTTTTGTGTTTTTTTTCAATGTGTCAAAGAAAAGAAACTGAAAAATCTATTAAATATGATTCAGAATTTTGAAGCATTCGTTACAAATACACTGTTATAGTTGGTCTTCCCACATATTGTTTGTCCATTATGGCTCATAGAGTTTTGACAAAGAAGGTAGTTTCAGCTCTTTCAACCCACTCAACACATTTGAGACATCCACAGCTTAATCCCCCAGCGAGACTGAAACAATAATTTTTCAACACATTCAGGCTCTTGAGACAGCTGTGTCTGTCTCACCTAACCTCGACAGTCAGGAAAAGCATTATTTCCTGTGTTTTTTTTTATTTAGTACTGGTAAGTGTTTGTTTGTGATTGAAAAAAGCATAATAAGTTACTACATTCCAAAGGATAAACTAATATCTTGGGTAACATTGGAATAAAACATACCATCCACTGTTACTCAGAACTGAAGAAATCATGACCCAATCCAAGATGCGAAAGCAATGTCCAATTCACGAATTAAGCATTCTATTTTAATGAATCGATTGGATGGATTCACAAATCGCATTTAATGATTCATCAGTGAATTAATTGATCTCAATGCTGCAGTTAACGACTCACTGATTCAGTGATCCTATTGGAGCGACTCTCAATTGAACAATTTGCTGTTTGGACTTGCCCATTTCAAAATGAACAAAGAAACAGAAGTAAAATGTTTTTTTTAGAGCTCAAATGTTTTTTTAGAGTGGGCTGCTGCACCACTGATTTATAATAGATCATATATATATATATATATATATATATATATATAGGTCAGTGGTTCTGACATACTAGTAGAAAATGTATAGCCTGAATGCACTGTAAGTCGCTTTGGATAAAAGTGTCTGCTAAATGCATAAATTATTATTATAAATTATAATAATTCATAATAATGTTGAACTGAGCTCTCTGAGCATCACCGACATTCACCTTTATCGACTAACTAAATAGTAGTCCTTATAAACAAGTACTTGTACAATATACAAAGTCTTGAATAAACTTTTGAATGTACTTATTGTAAGCAGACATTTCAACTGCATGGTGTATACAGGATTTGTGTACTTGATCCTCCACTGCTTCAAATCTACCATCA